CCGAAGTTGCGCCCATTCGCCTTAAGCCTCGTCGAGTGCCCTTTGCACTCAAGCCAAAGATTGATGAACAATTGGACAAATTAATAGCCCAAGGAGTGTTGGAACCGATTGACCACACTCGATGGGAGACCCCAATTGTGACCCCCATAAAACCAGATGGATCGTTGAGAATTTGTGGGGATTACTGGGCCACCCTCAATCGCTTACCCTGTACCTGTGGTCCAACAACTTCTTCATTTCCTGGGAGGTGGAAAAATATTTGCAACATTGGATCTAGCTCAGGCATACCAGCAGTTGCCCGTAGACGCCCAGACTGCCGAAGCCCAGACTATAGTTACGCATAGAGGGGCCTTCAAATGTAATAGACTTCAGTTCGGAGTAAGTGTAGCACCTGGCATTTTCCAGAGTTTGATGGAGAGATTACTGCAAGGCATAAAAGGGGTCGTGTCATACTTCGATGATGTTTTAATAGCTGCCCCTACTAGTAGCTGCCCCTACTAGAGACCTGTTAGAAAAACGACTCAGACTGGTTCTACAGAAATTCAAAGACGCTGGCCTGAAGGTCAAGAAGGACAAGTGACAACTCTGTACGGAGAAGGTTGAATTCCTAGGCTACCTTCTTGACAAACAGGGAATTCACCCAACTGAAAAAAAACTATCCGCAATAAAAAACGCCCCAAAACCTAGGAATAAAACAGATCTCCAAGCCTTCCTAGGACTCATTTACTTTTATAACATCTTCTTGCCCCAGAAGGCGACTGTTGCTGAACCCCTGCATAGGCTCCTCGACAAGAAGGCTTCCTGGGTCTGGGGTCAATGGGAAGAGCGTGCCTTTCAGCAAGTCAAGGACCTTTTAATTTCAGATGCTGTATTGATACAATACAATGAAACTTTACCTCTAACCGTCACCTGCGATGCCTCACCGTTTGGGGTAGGAGTAATCCTGAGCCACATCCTGCCAAACGGTACAGAGGCACCCATTGCATTTTTTTCAAACTCCTTGTCAAAAACTGAGAGGAACTATAGCCAACTTGATAAAGAGGCCCTCACTATTGTAGCAGCGATCAAACGATTCCATGAGTATGTATATGGAAGACCCTTTTCCATTATCACCGATCACAAACCGTTACTTGACATCTTAGCGGGAGACAAACCAACGCCCCACATCTTATTGCCTAGAATGACGCGTTGGTCGGAGTTTCTAGCCGCATACGATTACCAATTGCTACACCACCCGGGAAAAGCCATTCCCCATGCTGACACTTTAAGCCGCTCACCGCTACCTGAAGTCATAGACGATCCAGCTCCAACTCTAACTACGCTTCAAATCGAAACCCTTCCTTCTCCACCACTGACTGCACGAGATATCGCCTCGGAGACAAGGAAGGATCCTTGTTTGGCACGAGTCCTCAGCTGGGTAGAAAGAGGTTGGCCTAACAACGAACCCAACGACACCTTCAAACCTTTGAAAAATTGCCAGACAGAACTCTTCTCACAAAAAGGATGCATATTGTGGGGAGACAGAGTCATCATTCCAGAGCGGCTACAGCACAAAGTCCTGAAACTATTACACGATGGACATCCTGGCATCGTGCGAATGAAGGCACTAGCGAGGAGCTATGCTTGGTGGCCAGGTATAGATAAGCAAATAGAAACTTGGGTGGCCACTTGCAGCAAGTGTCAGGAAACTCGCTCAGCTCCGCCAAGAGCCCCGCCAATTGAATGGGAAACACCCCGGGGTCCCTGGTCCCGCATCCACATCGATTTTGCGGGACCTACCAAAGGGCATACATTTCTCATAACTGTGGATGCCTATTCCAATTGGCTAGAGGTCCACAAAATGAAGAGCACCACCACAGAAGCAGTCGTCAAAAAACTAAATAAACTATTTGCTACGCATGGGTTGCCAGACGTCCTGGTCTCAGATAATGGACCCCAATTCACTGCTCTTGCATTTGAACAGTACCTCGCAGACCGGGGAATACGCCACGCCTTAACTTCGCCTGCTCACCCTGCAGCCAATGGGAGAGCTGAGAAAATGGTCCAATTCGTAAAGAAAACCTTACACAAGATGGAAAGAGGAGACATCGACGAGAAAGTGACCAGGATGCTCCTCCTCCAACACATTACCCCACACAGCATCGCAAACAAAACCCCAGCCGAACTCCTGATGGGACGGAAACTTCGCTCACATCTTGACCGCCTACATCCCGCCTACACGCCGGAACAACCCCTGGGGTCCAGCAGCAGGTACCGCACATTCAGGGTAGGCGACTCAGTTTTTGCAAAAAACTTCTCAGGAGACCCATTGTGGGTCCCCGCTACTATAACTCAACTTACGGGGCCCCGTTCCTACCGTTTACAAACTGCTGATGGGAAAATGTGGAAGCGCCACATTGACCAACTTCGCTCCAGACTAGCTCCTACCCCCATCACAAGTCCCGAACCTCAAACCTGGGGGGGGAGGGAAAGCGAGGGGGCCGAAAAAGAGCTAGCATATGACACGGGACTTGAAAACCGAGAGTCAACGCAACCAACCCCGGGATATTCACCTTCCAGAGGAGGGCTGGACCAGATGACTGCCTCGCCACAGAGCAGCCCCGCGATGGCAACTAATCCAGGAAATTCAGGAGCCAGTCTTGAGGGGAGCAGGGATGACAGCCCCGAGGCGCCCAGCGTGACAGTTGACCCAGCCGGGTCGTTGAGCTCAGTAAACAGCCCAGCGGAACCAGAGCCTGGGCAAGGACTGTTGGAGCAACACAGATCGGGCAGACAGGTGAAACGACCTGCATATTTAAAAGAGTACATCACCCCACCCCTCAGATGGAACCTAAGGGGGAGGGGTGTTACGGACTAAGCAAACGCGCTGTTTTAAAATCCTAATAGTTTTACTTCTACGGCAGTTTCGTAATCCTGCACTTCTGATTGGCCCACGAGCAGCGGATCCTGATTGATCAATTCTGGCCAATCTGATTGGCTGTTAACGGGCGCCGCTGATTGGCCGTTCCCAGCGCGGCAAACTCAAAAGCATTGGCTGTTGTGACAACAGCCAGCCCTATAAAAGGGCTGCTGCTGCCCTAGTATTTTGCTCTGTTCTGAAGTCACTATTAAAGAGTTGAGTCACTACCCGATGCCTCGTCTCCGTTCCTTGCGGCCATGCTCCAGACATAACAATTTGGAAGCCTGCACTCACAAACAAAAAAATCTCCACACCACAAGCCAGGCAAACACCTGGGCACAAACAGATCCCCCCTGATACCTCCAGCTCAAACACACCCCAACCAGGCACCCAGATGAAACCCAGCTTCCTAACTAATGATAGCCGCCCATTTACCCGAAGCCAAGCTGCACTAAAGGCCTCCAATAAAGTAACACAATGTTGCCAGCCAATCAAGATACAAAAAGAGCCAAAAAACAGACAGAAGATATTAGAAACACCAATCAAGCAGAACACAGCAAACTCCAAGACCAATAAACACAGACCAAGACTCCCAACCAATCAGGATGAAGAAAAAACCATTCTGGCACAGCAACAGGCTGCCCCAAATTTAAATCTGAAACCACTGTAAAAGTGTGACTCTCAGATGAACACTATAGAGAAGCCTGATGATGGCAGATAACTTTAAAAGCACAACTACAATGACGTGGGAAAATACCCGAACAAAGCTGAATGCCATACATGTAAGTACCCGCGAAAACTTAAGAATCCATATATATCCATATATATATATATCCATCCATATATATATCCCAGAATTCTTCAGAAAAACTTCAAGATGAAGGGTCCAAAGTTGAAAAACTTTGGACAAGACCAGTGGTGGGCAACTGTGGCCCCTTTTGTGACCTATGGACTTCAACTCCTAGAATTTCTGAGCCAGACTGCTCAGAAATTCTGGGAGTTGAAGTCCACATTTTGTGAAACAGCCATACTTACCTACTCATATCCAGTCCTTCTGTATTCACAAATACTAATCCTGAATAATTAGCAAAGCCAAAGAACCAATCTACAACAGGAATTGTGATTACAAAATTTGTCTACCTAATCAATACGATGATGATGGTGGTGAAAAAACCAAGTAGGTGTCAATGGAAGATGGTTCATCAGATGGTGTATTTGAAAAGACACAATAGAGTGGCCGTTGTGATTGACTGGAATTTTAGAATTTATAACTTACCAGCAAAGAAGAATTGGGAGAATCACATTATGGAAAAAGTGATTAAGAAGCAAAGAGGTAAGATGCTAAAGAGATTTCCAGGTGAAGATTGATTAACATACAGCCCATAATAAGCCAGAGATGACTCTAATTACAAAGAAGCAAGTGTGGATAATAGGCAACGTAGTAGCTGGAGATAGAAGAATTATTGAAAAAAAATAGGGGATAAACACACAAATCCCATCTTCCCCGGTCAGCATGTCCAAAGATTTCTCTCTTTCCAGGGGCGCTCGGATCACAATTCCCATCTTCAAATAAACATACCTTCAAATAAAGCTGGAGTAAACATGGAAAGATAGTTGTAGTAGAGCCAACTAGTGGTCAGAACACTTGGTGCCATCTCAGAAAAATCTGGAAAATTACCAGGAGCACAACAGGAACAGATAGTATCCCAGATCATCAAGCACAAAAAGTTGTGTCACTTGGAACAACAAATATATTACAACAACATCTTTAACTCCCTTGGATCCTTGGGAAATATATCTATTGATCAAAAATATCAAACACAATCAGAATTATCAGATGGTTCATTGTGTAAATAGATGTTGGGGTTGATAAATATGGTGATGGCATTAGAAAAAAGAAGGGATCATTTGTGAACAGTGTAGAAATCTTAACCAAGGCTGTGGCATAAGAGTGACCAGGGAACAAAGAGAGAAGGCGTGTCTCTTTGATTCTGAATCATCTAATCCCTTCAGCCTGAAAACCAACTTCTTTTCACCGTATAGTAGTTTTCTATCAGGAGGGGAATTGATTTGCAAGGGAGAAGAACAAGATAGGGGCTGTTGAATCAGAAGGTGGACTGGCAGCAAACTGCAAACTAAGATGGTGAAGATCTGTGGAAGAGGCATGGTGATGGTGGTAACCATTTTCCTGACAACTATTTTGTTTGTGGAGTTCGGTAAGAATATTTTATTTAAATCAATCCCCCTCTTTTTTCTAATTAGGACGAAGAAATACGAGACTGCCTTCTATGGCATTTGTAGCACCTCTGGAAAGAAAAACGAGACACGCCACTCATGTTCTCCTCTGTGAAAACCTTTCAGAGGTTTAGTTGGCAAAGTCACAGAGAAGAGCCATAAGCCGCACCAAAAGAACATCGAACAATAAGATTCGAAGAGACCTTAGAGATCTTTTAATCCAACCTCCCAAGTCTGAGGCAAAAGAACCTATATCATTCTGGACAAATGGCTGTCCAGTTTCTTCTTGAAAACCTCCAGTTAGGTGACCTCTGAGGTAGAGGGAGCATTTTTCCCAAAGGAAGGGATTCTTTACCAAACTTGGTTCCCACGAATTGTGTTAGGACACAAAGGGAACTTGTGTTGGTAACTTCAATTGCCAGATTGTACATTCCTTTTGATTGAAAGCATAGGAGGAGGCAATATTTCACCATTTCTCCACCCAGATGGAAAACATTGCGGACATAGCTCAAATTGAAATAACTTTGACAGACTTGCAACATGTCACCTTTGATTCTCCAAGTGCCTTGATCTAGAAGATGGAGAGATATTCCAGATAAGGCATTCAGGGAAAGCCTTATTTGTTTCCTAGCATCCTCTTGTCAGGGTTCTTATCAGGTCAGCTTCACGGTTGACACTTCCCATCTCCTCAAGCTTGCTAGATAAAGGGTTGAAGATCTGGAGACTTTGAAGCAACCACCTAGCATTCAAGGTGCTTTGAATGCTAGGAATTGTAACCAAGAAAATGGAGAGATTTTTTCATCTAAAATTACTCTTCTTACTCACTGAACATAAATAACATAGAATAATAAGAGTTGGAAGTGACCCGGGAGGTCTTCTAGTCCACCCCCCTGCCCAAAGCTGTTCCATTGGTTGATTGCTTTCCCCATTAGGAAATGTCTCCGTACCTATAGTTGTAGGTTTTCTTTTCTTCCTCCTATCCTCACTTGTCTTCCCCCTTTTCCTCCCCACTGTGTCCTACCATTTGTTTTTATATTTTTGTATTTTCTTCTACAATAAAATGTTTAAATCCATAACTCAACAGCCACTAAACCTAAGTGCTGTAAATCAAGAACTACCTTCCATTTTTACTTTCTAATTGCCTAATAATCCCTCGATTAAAATCTTTTCTTAAGAAACTCCCAAGTTAAATCATTCTGAATGCTAATTTTCTGGACCTATTGTATATTACCGTGTTTCTCACAAAATAAGGCCGGGCCTTATTTTTCTTTGAGTCCCGGAAAAACGGCTAGGACGTCTTTTTGGGGGTGAATTAATTTCTCCCCCCCCCCCACGCATCAATGTTGTCTCCAACAACAGCGTCTGAATCGCTTCCGCTTTTCCCCGTCCCTGTAATAACAGGAAAAAAAAGATTTTGAGGTACCTGGGAGCGCCGCGCGCTGCGTTTTGGTTTAATCCCTAGCGGCTGGGTGGGCGTGAGAAGAGCCGAGTGAGCATCCCTGCTGCTGTTACCCTTGGTGCTCCAGCCTCGGGCTCTGCAAGTTTGCAAAAGTCCCGGTGCGCAGCCCATTCCTGCATTCCAAGTGCCCAGGCTGAGCTGCAGCTGTCCCTCTCTCGCCAGCACCATCTCCAATAACAGCGGCAGCAGCGGCGGAAACTGTGGAAGTTATGGAGGCAGCTCCCCCACCCAAGAAGCGGCTGAAACGCTTCCACGGTTCCTGCCGCTGCTGCCGCTGTTATTGGAGATGGTGCTGGTGAGAGAGGGACAGTTGCAGCTCGGCTGCTTGGAATGCAGGAACGGGCTGCGCACTGGGACTTTTGCAAACTTGCAGAGCCCGAGGCTGGAGCACCAAGGGTAGCAGCAGCAGAGACGCTCGCTCGGCTCTTCTCACGCCCACCCAGCCGCTCAGGATTAAACCAAAACGCAGTGCGCGGCGCTCCCAGGTACCTCAAAATGTTTTTTTTTCCTGTTGTTACAGGGACGGGGGAAAAGCGGGAGCAACTCAGACGCTGTTGTTGGAGACGGCGCTGGCGAGAGAGGCGCCAGCACTGGTGGGAACCATGGAAGCTACGGAGGCCTAAGAAGCAGCTGAAACGCTGCCGGATATCCACGCCGACGCCGCCCGCCTGCTGACCTGGGTAAGGGAGGGGTAAGGGAGCCATCCGTGCTCCACCATGGTGTTAGGAGCGGCTGATGGTGAGGCGTAGCTGCCCGCGGGGCACTCCTAATGGCAAGTTCCCCCCTGCCGCCCCTCCCAATTTCGCATGTTTTAAACTGGGCCTAAATTTGGGGAGAGGGGCTTAATTTCATTTTATGCCTAGAAAACATGCTGGGTTTTCCTATTGAGGGCGGGCGTATTGTTGAAGAAACATGGTATATAAGTGTACCTCTAAAGAACCATTGCATTTTTAAAGTGAGTTCAACAAAACAGCACAGTTGACACAGCAGCTAATCACGAAAGAATGGACTAAGAAAGAGGAAGATCAGATTGCATGAAATAACCCCAACAGGACAAAGGAAAGTCGCAAAAAAAAATGTTTGTTTCGTATCACGTGCAAAAAAGACTAATCTCAACACAAAAGTTTTATCAGCATGGAATTTGCAGGATCTTGTGGCTCAGTTGTGGTCAAGTGAAGGATTTGCTACCACTTTATACTACCTCTGTAAGAAACATTTGTAATATTGCATTCAGTTTTATTAACTAATTTATTTATTTACTTGTCAAGAAAGTATTAGATAACAGGTATAAGCATAAGCATGGTTATGAGTGCATGAAATGGATACGAATAAGAAAAAAAGAAACAATAGGACAGGGACAGTAGGCACGATTGGTGCACTTATGCACGCCCCCTACAGACCTCTTAGGAAAGGGGTAAGGTCAATAGTAGACAGTCTAAGCTTAAAGTTTTTGGGGTTTTGGGAAGAAACCACAGAGTCAGGTAGAGTATTCCAGACATTGACCACTCTGTTGCTGAAGTTGTATTTCCTGCAACCAAGTTTGGTGTGATTTACCTTGAGTTTGTATCTATTGTGTTCTTTTGTATTATTGTGGTTGAAGCTGAAGTATTCATAGGTATATAGGTAGGACATTGCAGTAGATAATTTCATGTACTAACTGCACTTAGGTCGGACCGAAGGCGATGTAGTTCTAGGTTGTCTAGGTCTAAAATTTCAAGTCTGGTGGCATGAGGTATTCTGCTATTTTGTATTTTGTGTGTGTGTGTGTATTTTGTATTTTGGTCATCACAATACAAAAAGAGATGCTGAGACTCTAAAAAGAGCACAGAGAAAATCAACAAGATTGATTAGGGGACTGGAGGCTCATACATATGATGAAGGGTTACATGAATTGGATAGGATTGTCTAACAAAAACAAGGATTAAGGTCTTCCAATATTCGAGGGGCTGTCACAGAAAAAAGGAGGTCCATTTATCCCCCAAAGTCTGAAATAGTATAGGGTCTCCTGCCTGAGTAGGGGGTTGGACTAGAAGACCTCCAACACTTTTGTTTTGCATTCTCTCTAAGAACCAAAGAATATTAAATGGACTGTAATCCAGTTGCAGTTCTTTCTCCTTGTTTAATAGTTCTAGATATTTATATATGGTTCTTTTTCCACGACAGCCCAATCTCTGAAATGTTTTTCATGCCGGGAGCCCACAAGACCTGAGAAATGCATGGCGGTGATGAATTGCATGCCAGACCAAACCACGTGTATGACGACAATGCATTCTATTGAAGAAGGTGAGGTTGAAGGACAAAGTTGATCTAAGATGCTCAAGGTCAAGGTCAGATGAAGGAGACTTTCCCTTCTCTTCCTCCTCACTCCTCATTCTATGAAAAAGGGATTAAAAATGCATGTTTCTGGATCACCTTCACATAATGTCACAGCCTGGATATGACAAAGTGTGCAGGTCTTTTGAACATTGACAATGACATATAGATAACAGGTGGCTACTAAACAGGGAGATAGCAATAGCAATAGCACTTAGACTTATATACTGCTTTATAGTGCTTTACAGCCCTCTCTAAGCAGTTTAGAGTCTCCCTCTTACCCCCAACAATTTGGATCTTCATTTTACCCACTTCGGAAGGATAGAAGGCTGAGTCAACCTTGAGCCTGGTGGAATTTGAACTGCCGAATTGTAGGCAGCTGGCTGCAGCAGAATTAGCTTGCAGTACTGCACTCTAACCACTGCACCACAGATCCTGTTGAATTGTCTGTGGAGAGTCTCAGTCATCTAGGTCATGATTGTCCCAAAGATGCTTCCCCCCCCCTCATGGCATATGCAGTACAATGCAGCGAGACATGTGCAGATCTGTAAGTTAGGGAAACAAAACAACCACTTCACAAACGCGTGGCACAACATAGGAGAACAAACCCATCAGGACAATATTCAGCAGTCCATCTGCATTTAAAAGACAAAGGCCATTCCTTTGAAGGCAGCAAAGCCCACATTTTGGACAGAGAGGACCTCTAGTTTGAAAGAGGAGTCAAAGAGGCCGTCTATGTCCAAACTGAACAGCCCTCCCTCAACAGAAGGGGAGGCATATGACATCAACTACCTCCAGTCTACAACAGAGTCTTTTCAGCAGTCCCAAGAAGGCTCCAAGTCCATTTGCACCACTCAGGTGGCCCTGAGAACACAGAGAAACCAGACTGTCACAATTCCTGAAAGCCAGTCCAAATTCTGCATGGATTTGGTTGTGTGGAACTATTGGTAACCTTAAGGGATACCTGGATGGATATGCATAATTTTAAGCCTCTGGTTCATTAGATTTCCCCAATTTGAATATCCATCAGAGAAGATGTCCTACAGTTCTCATCCTTCCGAGGTGGCCCAGATATTTTATTTATTTATTTATTTATTTATCTATCTATCTATCTATCTATCTATCTATCTATCTATCTATCTAT